GTAAAATTCTCCTAAACATATTCAAAACTTTCATTATACCAGTCTAGACTATAAAGCGATGATATACAGTACGCTTCTCCCGAGACTATCCCACCGTATCCTTACAACCGAGAGAAGAATCCTTCGTAATATACATAACCTTCCCTACCGATATCCATCTCTAAACCTATGTAACCTTATTAATACTACACCTATCAACGAACGATTTCAGGAACTTCAAGGACGATATGCGATCAGAACGATGAGCAGTATTAACATCGATGCCATCAACTCGCTCACAACACCTTGGACTCCAGGTGGTGGATCCAGAAGAATACCTAGAAAAAAGCTCCCGTTTCCCCCAGCCAGACTCCTAGGAGCAATGGAAGACCCGCCGGAGACGATCCAGGATATCCTAGAGGAATTCCCACTGGGAATCAGATAGCGGACAGCAGTGTCCTGGAAAGAGCTGAAATCAGAATTTATTCCCCCCTATTAGCCCCGGCCTAAGATCTCGTACCAAAATACCAATGACCACTGTTACTGACCCGGACCACCGTATCGGAACAACTGAAAAAACAAGAAAAAGAAGAGGAACACGAAACAATTCTCTGTCACAGGTCTTCTAGATTTGTAGGCTTAGTAGAGTACACTTTCGACTTCAGGTGTCCCTATAGAAAGGAGTCCATCGGTGTGAGATCAGGTGATCTAGCTGGCCACTCCAATGGACCACTTCTGCCGATTCAACGCATTGGAAAACGTTCGTTCAAAAACTGTCTCACTCGAACATCGAAATGTGGGGGTGCACCAATCAGCTGGACTATTGTTTCATTTTCTACTAAATTGTCATAATTTTCTAAAATTTGGGAATCATAGGTAGGATCTACACAGTCTTGTAATAGATTCAAGTATTAGTCTTCATTGGTGTCTTCAGTGAAGAATGGTCCAACAATATGATTACCAAGAATGCCGTCCCAGATATTGAATTTTTGTGGAGTTTGTAAATGTGTTTCCATCACCAAATGAGGATTCACATCGCTCTAGTAACGACAATTATATCTATTCACTTTACCATTCAACATGAAAGAACTTTCGTTTGAAAAGCATGTATTGTATAATTATTGGTTTGGGTTATTGGTCAATTTCTCGCTGAATACCTCACAAAACTGAACTCGACGATCAGGATCATCTTCGTTCAATTCCTGTACTAGCCTTGTTTTGAAATCATTGTATTTGTAGGCTTTCAAAATTCGAAAAACAGTAGTAGCTGATACACCAGACGCTCTAGCTACTTGTCTGATAGATTGTCGATTATCAATTTGTGCATGTCCTAAAACTGCAACTTCAACTCCGTCATTTCTGACAGGACAGGATACTTCCTTCATGTTACGAGATGAGTGGCAGTGGAAGATAGAAAAGGCAAGCAGGGCTACAATCATCCTTTTTTAAGAAACCGAAGGTGATCTTGACAACATATTCTCGTACTTACTTAATATTTTCATTTTTTCACTTATTGTTCATGTTCTCTATAGATCTTTGAAGTGTTCATTATTCTCATCATAATGTACGAAAATTGTTTTGTTCCCCTTCAAACAAGTAAAACCCCTGATATATTGTTTAAGAGTGTCAAAGGATGGAATAGAACGAATGAGTGGTTGAATTCCCATCCATAAAATGTATACACAACGTTTAAAAGGCCTATCTAAGCTAATTGAAAAGTTTCATTGAAATGAAATCTGAAATATTAAAAAATGGAATGAATTTTCAGCTTAGTTTTTCAGGTAGACCCATCGCATTCTGAACAAGAGAAACAGTTCCAGTTTCAGGTACTGCCTGAAAGAACTTCTTCTGAACAAACAATATTACGCGAATATCTTAAAGGCAATAGCTAAAATATTTGTAGTATTCTTATGTTCATCTTATTCTACTATCAGAATTATCATTCAAGCCCTTTGTATTTTTACTTTTCAATCTTTTTCATTTTTTTATTTTGTAAGGTGCAAAAGGAAGAATGAACTCTGTTCAATCTATCCTATTCACAAATTTGTATTTTTCTCTGTTTTGTAAGATGTTATTTCTGTTATTTCATTATTATTAGTATTCTCTGGCTTGTAGACTGTACCCCCCCCAAATTGATTTTCCGGATCCGCCACTCACGACAGTACTTGATAATGATATCAACTGTCATCAATTCACGGAGAAAGAAATTAGGATTTGACATCTCTTTCGAAATATGAAATCTGAAAAACCATGGTGGACAATAAAAAAAGGAAATAGTGAAACCAATAACAATACCACAGTTAACTTTGATAACCATACATTTTCTTTCATGCCATTTCCTGAGTTTGAAGTGAAAAATATTATATGTCGACTGAAAAATAAAAAAATCGGTTAGTATCGACGAAATTCCGGTGGAACTAATAGGAAATTGCGAAAAATTCTAATCTCCTTTTCTTGCCAAAATAATAAATTCCTCCGTAGAAAAGGGAAAGTTTCCGTTCTTTCCAGCAATCTTGTTTTCTGTACCAGTTTGTATATGTCCTTTGTCGGATGTTTGTCACATTATGCTAGACATAATTTGGGTTGTACACAATGTGAAATCACATAAAAAAACGTTGGCAATTTGTTGCCACTGTTATATTATGTACTTTCACATTCTATTCGGTATAATACACATTTGATGTAAATTCCATTACATGATAATTTATGTGAATATACTCATTGAATTTGTTATACTTGTCGTGAAATTTCATGCATTTTTATGAAATTATCGTATTGAAATTGATGTGTGAATTTCTCTGCATGAAAATACACAAAAAATGTAAATTTACTAATGAAATTTCACTGTAGCGGGTCCAATTTTCTAAAAGTGCATTGTAAATGTTTAAATTTCAAAAGTAAGTTTCAGTTCAATATGTAATTTCACTTTCCCCTACTGAAGGTCCACTGTACCCAAAAAGAATTAAATTTTCATAACTTTAATTGAATCTCCATCAACTGGAAAAAGTAACTCCTACTTATACCAGAATGATATTTAGAATAGAAATGTGATTGAAAAAATGTGAACATCAGTGGCCTTCATTCACATTGTTTAATAATAATGAAATATTGAACTAATTTTAATTTTTTCCTATTATTGGTTAACAATGAAATCATTGAAACACTGAAATTTTCATTATGAAATAAAAAACTGAAATCAAATCATGAATTATATGTCGATCATACGTGACCAATAAGTTTTTTACTTTGTTTATATATGCGTATGATGTCTTTGTATATTTGTATATATCATTATAATCGATATTGTTTTCATTTTCAATAAGGAGAGTCATTAATATTCTGTGAACAAATAATTATACAACACCAAATGTTTTATATTTTTTATGAAGAAGAGCAGATAGAATAGATCAAATTGGGTTTCAATTTCTGTTCATGTAGAATTCATGTATAAATTCCACATATTTATTATCCTTTTTGAGCCAGCAGATCTGAATTTCGTTCCGACTATTGTTTTTTTTAGAAATACCTTTACACAAATTCCATAGTTGACGATTTGTTCATAGAGATACTCATACAATATAATACAGCTTTTTGTGCTTACAAGTAGATGTTTTTTCAATTATCGTGACAAATATGAATCCCCTATTGAAATTTTTGCAATTGTATGTTTCCTTACCCCCATTTGTACACCTTCAACTTTGCATTACTATATCAACCGCGAAATCCGTTGAATCTGCCTGCTAAAATATGTTTTTTCGCCAATCAGCTATTACCCCCTCACGAACGACAACTCTCAGTAGTTGAAACTTGTGCGAACTGGGGATTGAAGAGGATCTATTTATCGTGGTGCAATACCTAACACAGAACTGTCAGTATGTATCAGTAGAAATTTTTCAGACGGTGACCTGAGAGGATCAGAAGAGCGTTTAATGGCTGCAGTTAGTAACCTGCAGCCATAGGAGAGAGTGTGTTTGAAATATGTCACAGTGTGTTGCTTACTTACCTGTTGAGAATACTCAGAGGCTGACCACCGATCTGGTCCTCATTATATGAGGAAAATTTACCATGGTCTGTTAACCTTGGAGTGGATTATCCCACACCAAGAAATTCAGGACATGGTAGCACAACGCATGCTCCAAGATCACCCCACCGCAGACCAAATCAGGTTTTCAGTTGACCTGAAAATCACTCACCAAATCAATTCATCGGTATTGATTAAAATCTGGATCCATTTGGTCATGTTTGTGTGAACCACAATGAATCCTAGCGTGTTGGAATAGAAGGTTAAATAGATCTATTCAACTCAGATATATCCCTATCTACTGAAACATCCTTTATTACAGAGTATTCGCAATGTATTCCTTTTAATTTGAAATAAAGTTATGATTGATGAACAATAATACCATTCGGCAGTTTCGTATGACACACACATGACATTCACAATTACAGGGGAGACACCCTACACCATTATATGTTGAAAGGTCTTGCCGTGAACCGATAAGAGCGTAGCTTATTAGGGTTGTTATCTCTTCTCCTGTCTCGCCACGGTTCTCTGCGACCCTATTCGTTTCAAATAATAAATTGAGATCCCGACCGCATAACTGGAATTGATGTTCGTCCTGCGCGTATTTGTTTTCATTGATATCAAGACAAAAGCACTTTCTGGCTTATATTGTTCAGTTATTTGAAAAGAAACGAGGTGAATGATCTAATTTGTAGGATCGTTACAGTTGGAATTGAGTTAATCGCATATGGAAAGCAGTGTCACGTTCAGCTATTGGTTTTTGAGCCCGGTGTGAATGATGGTATACAATCCGAAACGAGGAAAAAATCGACAAGGAATTTTGCAACAACAGAAAAGACGAATATTACTGGGGTTTTTTTCCAAACACCAAACCGTTATTTCAACACTTCAACATATGTTTCGATTATCACAAATATAACAGGATATTCTGTGCAAGTAAACAATCCAGGTTTCTCCGACCATTTGGGTCAGTTCTTTAACTGGAAAGGACGGCCAGTTTTGCAACCATGTGAATATCCAGAACATGAGCTGAGAATATTCACTACACAAGGAATTGAGGAATTCAAAACTAGATTTGGAAACCTTGACGTGATAGAATTATCAAGCACAGATAACATGATGAAAGAATTTGTCGACCACTTCATTTGGTGTTTTGAGATTTGTTTTGGGAAACAAAAAGTTAGGCCTAAACGAAACCGTCTCAAGGTCCCAAAAATACCGTTCTCTGAGGAACTATCATTTGAGCTAGAAAACTTAAAATCGCTCAATTGGTTAAGAAATTGCTTTCCTGGGAGCAATATCTTGAGTGAAGCATATGAACAGAACAAGAAAATAGTCGATAAAAAAATTCAAGAAGAAAAGCAAATATACACAGCACAAAAGATTATAAACTCTAATAACAAAACTAAAACTCTGTGGAAAATGGTAAACATCACACTCGGTAGAGAACAACGAATGCATGAGAAAATCTCCCTTACATTCAACAATGAAATAACCTCAGATGATAAACAAATATCAGATATTTTTGCAGCTCATTTTTCTAATTCCTTGAAAAACCAAATCGATGGCATGAACCTACCAAAAAACTCATGTACAACCAACGATTTCTCACTCTCACACTCTATGTACTTTTCGCCGATATCTCATATTGACGTTGAAAAAATCCTATACAATTTTAAAAATAAAAATTCCAAGGGTATCGATGAAATACCTATGAAACTATTGATTGAAAGTAGCTCTATAATATCTGAACATTTAGCCAACATTATAAATGCATCCATATGTGAAGGGAAATTCCCAACTGCACAAAAAATAGCAAAGGTTGTTCCAGTCCACAAAAAAAGAGAGAGGACTAATGTAGGAAATTACAAAGGAATATGCGTCTTGAACTCATTCACCAAAGTGATAGAAAAAGCCGTATATGAACAAATTATGCTTTTTCTCGATAAAAATAATATCATCTCCTCACAACAGCATGGAATTCGTAAGAATTTCTCGATCGAGACTGTCTCGGCCGAAATGATACAATATATTCATGAAAATTTAAATGATAGATTACATGTTTGTGGTATCATTTTTGACCTCACACGAGCATTCGAAACCATAAATCCTAAATTCTTGTGTGAAAAATTATGTAAAATAGGCATACGAGGACCCATCAACAGTTGGTATATTACTTTTATAATAAATGTGGCTGTATGTATTTTATATTTTTCTACAATTATTTTTCGTTTGTCCTCATGGTTTCCTTATCCATTTCATCGAAAGCTGACTGTAGTAGGTTTTCTGTGGTCTACGAACATACTCGAGCTCGCACTCCTCCCTTTCTTTTATAATTTTGTGGCATTGTTCTGCTGTAATCATAAATAACAGTGTATAAAGGGATATATGCTCCTAAGGGCACCTATACCTCCAAAAATCAGGGCAACCAGTATATTGATGTAATAAAAAATATAACGGACGTTATTACTAATTATGAAGTTATACAACGCATAATACTAACTTACTACTTACATCAGTAAAGTGATCAACACTTCGCTGGTCTATTATATGTACGTCCTTAAAATGCCATAACTAGTCAGTCAGTTTCTTCATTATCAAGCGTCCTTATCTGCATAGGCGTAGTGTGTTCTGTTTCTTGTGAAGGTGACTTTGTTTTGTATTTATTAAATATATTTTATTATATTTATTAAATAGATTGTTATATTTATTAACTTTAAAATATAAGATAGAGTTGGCCCGATACTTGTTTTTCAAAATACATTATCATAGATTTTCATCACATTCACACTTTATTGTGAGATAATAATTAGTTGACCCAGTCATTAAACTCAGGTATAAATATTCGTTAAAGTTAGGTATTACTGTCATTAATTAGTTCCTAGAATATTATCATTTTCTATTATAAGTTGAGGTTGAGTAAACAACTGACAAATAGCTGAATAATATAATTGAATTTTATTATTTTTAAAGTATTAAGATGGATGCTGTAGCAGATCCATAGTAATTTCATAAACCATACCATACGATTTGATCTTTACAAACTTTGTTTTTGTGAAAAAATATGAATATATCTTTGTTGGCTCAAGTCAAACATTTTTAATGAAACTCGGTATATTTTTCGGAACATAAAATTGGAGCAGAAGTCAAATTCAATACAGTGAATTTCAATTAAGCTTGAAACGGAAATTTTGTATCTAACCATAATAATTTTGCTTTTTTTTCTGAATGTTCAATCAATTTTCTCTAGATTTTTCGAGGCAAATATAACCAAAATAACCTAACCGGAATTCCAAGTTAGTTTTTGTCTAAATCCCAAATGAACGAGCTCATGCTCTACTCCAAACATTACACTTGAAAGCCTTCTGAACATTTAACTGCATCACAGGTTACAAAATGAAAGACAAACATGGTTCGGAAATTATAATTGGAGTTTCAACTTTATACTGAATTTGCAAATCTGGTATCCATTTTCTCAATTCTGATACTTTCTCAATTACTGAACAAAGTTCCAAGTAGGAGTTTACTCGATTATAGTTCGTGGCTGAGTTACAAATCACCAACAATCCTTAGCTGCAAATGAATTTCTCTGCCAACTCTGAATTGATTAAATCCATTCATTGCCAAGCAACCAATTATAATTATTTCTCTGGCGCTGTATCTGATTCGTGCTAGTTTCACAGGAAACCATAAAATATGATATTGACTGCAATTGATGATTTGGCAGTAATTATAGAGCAAGGATTCAAGCTTATGGTGATTTTTCGTTTGATGATCAAGTCGGAGAAGAGTTTTGTGATGTCATTGGGATTTTTAGGCGATGGCATGAGAGGAAATATCTATAATGCATCTAGACGCTGTGTCTTCCTAAAAACTTTACCAAATTCTATCTCTATTCTTGAAATTATAGAGACACAATTCAAAAATACATATAACGATGGAAGTGTTGAAATTTCATAGTTGTTGAAAAAACTTATACAGTTCTCGGTACTTGTCCGAAAAATAGACTTGGTGTTTTTTCAAAACCTGGTACAACTTTCTTTCGATTGATGCAGTAGGGTCCCGTACGATCTTTGTGTATCCTCCCTTCTGAGGAACCTCTTCGATCTTCTGTTCGTAGAGAACAGTATCCATCACCACAGTAGCGTTTCCTTCATCTGCAGGTAGGATCTTGATGGTGTTGTCTCTACGTAGGACGTCCAGAGGTCTACGTTCTTCATTGCTGATGTTAGATGTTGGAACTGGTTCTCGATCCAGCTGTTCTCTAATTCAGTTCCAAGTACTCGAACGACCTATAAATAGTCATCTCTCGGAGAAATCAGTTCAGTCATCACCTGAAGACGATTGTAGATACTAACAATCGAAACGTCGTGAACTAATGTGACTTGGAATCTCTCCACTTTTCATTTTCTTTTTTCTTTTCTTTATTTTTATTTATTCAATTGTTCTATTTTCACTTGTATTTTATGTCACTATTATTTCATTTCAGGTTTATTTTGCCTAATATAATTGTTATTTTCAGCTATTCATTTTTAATTCTTCTTTTTTATTTGTTCCAGGGATTTCAAATCATTTTATATAGTAGACAATGGAAGTCCGAACTAGTGAAATTCAAGACAAAAACCTATTGTGTCAATTTTTTTTTCGTTGATACAATATTGGTTAGTGACTCTAGTAGATTCAAAGTTTGATATAAATTTTCATATGACAAAAACACTTTTAGCCAGAAATACTCGTCTTCGTTTAGCTCTACTTCTTCTGAGTGTTGGTATTTTTTTACATTGATTATTATCTCACTCACTATCGTATCTATACTATTACTCACATTGGGGGTTGAACTTGCAATCACAATATCTTTCGACGATACCACGAATCCGCGATTGGTGTCTTATATCCGTTTGTTTCAAACCCAACTGTACGCTACTGAGGAAGGCTAATTAGCTAGAAACACATGCCAGTGGTTTGCCCACCTTTCTAGTGCTGGCCCAAAACTTGTTCCGTCGATTTACTTAATATCACTCATTATTTCGATGCTTCACGATAGGTATAATCTTATTCTAGACGTCATGGTTTGAACTATATCGTGTTTGCTCACTGAATGATGTTTATCAAGAATAAATTGACATTGGCCATTATTTCAAACGAAAATTGGACTGAATGTCCCCATTTCTGCATTGATTCTAAAGATCGAGATATTTATAAAGGACTGAAAAGTCCGCAAATCCGAAACCCTCTGTTAAATTACGACTTCGAATATAAAATTTTTAGGATTTGTATAACAACGTGAAAGGCCCTCCGCCTTTCAGTTGAGTAGTGGAGTGGATCGTAAGTATAATATTGAATTGAATCTTGAATAAATCCAATTGGGAATTTTAAATAGTTCAACATCTTGGACATGAATATGCAATTTACTTCAGGACAACCGCTTTTCCCGTGATGTTTTTTGATTTCTAGAAAAAGATTGAACATTCGATTCACGAGAAGTGAACGAGTTTTTTCTCATCGCATTGCATTGCATATTTTTTATATCATAGTGGTTGTCTCTCAGATCTTCCTTCGTCATCTTCGATGATAACTGTAACAGGAAGTCCATACTGATTTTCATCACTTCAATCTGAGTACAGGTAATATCCTCTGTATGTTCAACCTGGTCTGAGGAAGACTACATCTCATTGTCCAAAAACTCCTGTTTCTGTTGTACTTCAGAATCATAGCCATCTGTTTGTTCATTTAACAAGGACATTGCTTGCTGTTGGTTACAAGGTGGTTTTGGAGATGGTTTGAGATAGCTGACCATTTCAGTCTTGGAAACTCCACTGTCTTTATCTTCATTGTTAATGGGCTTGTTTCATGCTATGGAAAATGATACTGGTTAGCTTATAGACTGATCGAGTTAGAGGTAGGTATATTATACTTATCAAGCCTAATCGGTCCCAAAATATCTTTATATTTGCAGAAAAAAGAATAATTCGAAAAGCAAGAATTCAAATTGGCCGCGTGTCTGTTCACCAATAAAATTGATCGTGTCTAGAGCGGAGTTGCCAAGTGTATTGGTTTTCAATATCCAATCACAGATCTGAAGATCCAATTTGACAGACGCCATTTTTGTTGTTATTATTGTCAACTCGGCGGGTGCCTATTTTGCTGCATATTCCGTGTCATTAGTTTATCTTGTTTTTGCAACATTGAGTTTCAACATTTTCTTAGCTGACAGCTCGCGTAGGAAGAATTCGTTTTTTCATCGAGTTCAGTTTGTGTGTGTTTTGAAAGTGTTTTAGAGATATATTTGAATATTAATATAGTGCATTCTTGTTCTGATTTTAATTGTGCGGAAAGGCACAAGAAAACAGAAAGCACATCAGTTTATAGATGAGTTATTTCATATAATGAGTTTAGGTTCCAAAAGGATCAGTTCGAGTGCAAACAATTCTGTGTATACTTGACCTCATTCAACTTTCCTCTCAAGTTTTGGAAGATTCAAAAGATTACCCAAGAGAGCCTATAGTGCTTGAATTTAGTAGCAATATTAAAAAGAGGTATGTATGTAGGATTTTTTTTTATAATAAATTGTAGTTTTACAGATTGGGGATTGTAGAATAAATTGAACATTTGAAATGATTCTTCA